TAAATGCCTACTATATGCCAGGAACTACACTAAGTGCTTTACAAATATGCCCTCATTTGATGATGACGGATAAAAAGATGGGGTGAATTACTTTTGAGAAAGTACATGGTACTTTCAATGAGATAAGGTGTTAACTTGCTACAAAATCTCCTATTTTTAATGCAATTAATATTCTCTCAGTGAGGTTCCACGGCTGTGAATCACAGAACACCACAATCTCAGAAGACTCACAATTATAGATGATCCAAAGGTCAATCAAAATCGGCATTGTAGTCTAAGTGGGTTACAGCACAGCCTAAACAATGACGAGCATGCAAGAAGGTTAAGTGTAAAAAGCATTTTTTTTCCTGTGTGAAAATAAAGACTAGAGGCCGGACTTCCTGACACTCTCCTCTCCTCAAAACTACTTCACCGCCCTCATGGAAAGGCAATATTCTTTGGAAGCTAAGAAGTTTCAAGACAAGATACCAGCTGAGGAAAAAAGGAAATTGAACAGGAAGAAGCCATTTCCACTAATAGGCGTTCAAAGCATGTGGAGACCAAACTGTTCTGTCCTCTGAAACTCCCCCTTCCACGAATAGCAACCAGGACATTAGGCATAAAAATGAGAGACTCAGGACTATTATTTCATCTTAAATCTGATGCAATTCAATAAGAAACAGATCCAAACCCCGAGGGAGCCCAATCTGTTTGTTTAATGCGTCCCCCAGTTTCTTCTCCTTAAATAAAACCTGGGCAGTTTATCTACAGCGTCTGTCATGTTGTCAAATGACTCTGACTCAAATCCTTTGAAGATACAAGCATCTGCACAAAGCTGCCTCAGAGAGCCTGGATCATTTGGAGAACTTCGGTTCAGCCTAACACTACCCTCTCTTCCTTCTTCTTTCTCTTCTTCAGGATTTCAAATCTATCCTATGATTTGGGATGAGGCAAACTGTTTTCCCAGAGGGCCCCTCAGCCTCCGCATTTCCTTATCCCCACTGTCCTGCTCCCCACACCCCAGTAAAGCAAACGTTAACAATGTCCTACTCATCTTTTTCAAGTGAGCAAGAGAGAATCACCACCCTGTTTACTCTAGTTTTGGCCTCTCCTCCTTAGAACAATAAAAATCTATACCTTTCTCCCTTAGCCCAAGAATTCATCCTGAACATCTGAAAAGTCACACAATCACAAGTTTAGATCTGGAAGGGCCTCAGCAGTCACCTATTAGTGCAACACCGTCGTTTTACAGACAAGGAAAGTGAGGGCTGGGGAGGTAGCATCAGAGATGGAATCTGAACCCTGGTCCTCGGGCTTTAAGGGCAGTGAGGTGGCGTAGTGGATAGAATGCTGGACCTGGAGTCAGGAAGACCTGAGTTCAACTCTGGTTTCAGACACTTACTAGCTGCGTGACCCTAAGCAAGTCACTTAGCCCTGTTTGCCTCAGTTTCTTCATCTGTAAAATGAGCTGGAGAAGGAAATGGCAAACCCCTCCAGTATCTTTGCCAAGAAAACCCCAAACGGGGACACGACTCAAATGACCGAACAACAGCAAACCCCAAATACACAACTTAATTATTTGTTGAAATGAAAAGATTTGCTAAATTAATGAATAATGTAACAAAGTTACAAAGACAATTCTTCAAAGAAGACTAACTTCTCAAATACTTTAGGAGTACTACAAAGGTTAAGTGACCTGCTCATCGTCATAGATAGAATAAATAGAATGTGAAACCAGGTCTTAACTTCAAGTGAGATGAATTTTATGATCACAGGATCAAGATTTTGAGCTGGAAGGGACATGAAAAGTCACCTAGTTCAAGCTGCTCACCCTATGGATGAGGAAAACTGAGATTCAGAGAGTCCACACAGTAACAGAACCTGGATTTGATCTCAGGTCCTTGGGCCTCCAAATCCAGCCATCTTCCCACTGTACCATTTACTGTCCTTAGCAAAAAAAATAAGCATTTAAAATTCTACCGCTCTGTAAAAGCACTTCATAAACCATACAGCACTATATAAATGTGAGTTGTAATCACACAGGATTCTTGTATTAAATGAAATCACATAGAGAGTGCTCTGCAAATCAGAAAGCACTATGTAACTATTATTACGATTATTGTATTATTCTTCATCATATTAAATCAGGGGCTGATGCTGACGTAAGTTTTTAGATGTGGCTGTCTTGCATACAACACTGGGCTGTATCCAACACACCTCTGAGTTGAAGCCCATTAATTTCTAAATCCTTGGCCCCATCTTTGAGAATCTGTCGAGCATGCTGGTCATATAAACAACACCAGGGGAATGTTTAACCCGCTGAAGAGTCAAAGTAAACAAGAGATGCCCGAGTACTTTCCAAACTACTTCTGCAGCAACTGACCTTTGTCTGAAATCAGTGTGCCAATAAGAAGGGACTCCTACAAACTTGTTGAAGCAGACACAAGAAAGACAAGATGGCATTTCTCTAAAAACTCTTCTACCATTTCCACTTCTATTTCATTAATTTGGATGGGACTTTCCACACCTGTTGAGTTTTCCAGCTGTCTGAGTTCCTTATTTCTCAACCCCTGTTTACTTAGGGCCTCAAGTCTCATGGGTGAGTAATATAATATTTTACTGCATTCCCCCCTGCCCTCCACTAGGTGGCGGCTCCCAATTCAGAAAACAGATTTTTTTCATCGGGCATTTATTTATCAGCAAGAAGTGTTCTTGTGATAGTTCACAATTCAAGTCTGTGGGTTTGTGGCAAACCTTAGTCTAGAAGCTGACACATTAACAAAGTAAGAGGAAATTAAACAAGTCGAGCATCTGCAAACTGCACTCCAAGGGCTTTATAAACTGGAGCTCAGTTCACACGTGACCAAAATGCCAGGCTCTGGCTTTCTTTTCATCCTCATGCAAAGATGGGGAAACAGAGAAAGATAAGCTGAATGGATTCTCCCAGGGCAGAGGTCAACACAGTATCACAACCGGGAAGAGTAAGGAGGCTTTTAGCGGCCAGAAGAGTGAGTCTCTTCTTTTTTTAACGTGGTTTTGCTGCCTACAGGACAGAGTAATTTTTAATTTGGGGGGAGCTGCCCGTGAATCAGAAAGCACACACACTCAGTGAAGTCTCCCAGCTGTCTGAGTTCCTTAGTTCTCCAGGCATGTTTATTTAGTTAATGAGTAGAAGGGGATTAAAAATGAGGCTTGGTTTTTAGTGTCCCCACCTGTTCTGAAAACCTTCTCTCAAATGCACTCATCCAAGACGCTCCATCCTGACTAATTGGACAAAGGTCCACTTGCACCATAAATAAAAACCACTAGCTCACCTCTGCTTCCTGCATAGGCAAACAGAGCAGTTAATTTCGCTTTAATCAACACTTGTTTTTTCAATGAAACTTAATAAATTACAACCAAACTCATCTTTGGTCAAGAAAACCCTACTATGTAATATCACTGAGTCACATGCCCCATCATAACACTGTTCTTCTGGAATGGGCCGTCCCTGTATGACACACCTCTTCTGGGACAAACTGGTAGTGTTTGGCAGAGTACCCACGTTTCAAACTGTCCCCCACAGTACATATGGCAGCATCGAGCACAGTTTCCCCTTTTCTCCTCTCCCTGGAACATCTAATATTGGAGTCATTGTCAGAAACAACTTAGACCTTTTAGGAGAATGTGGGTGGTCAGTGGGAGGAAGGAAAGAAGCTATGAAAGGCAGTATCAGAGCGTAGGGAGCTGGCATAAGAACTAATCTAGGCCCTCACCAAGCTCATTTTTTAAAAAAATTCACTTTCTTCCCTAGCCTGAAATGCCACCATTTCAAGATGCATTGGGAGTTTTTAACAAGCTTCTCTTTTTAAAAATTTTTTTTTCATTTAAAATTTTAAAAACTTCTGAGGAAGAAGAGATTTTTCAGTCACTCACAAATGACTAGTGTCACCTGTGTGACCTTAGGCAAATTATTTTATTTTCTAAGCTTCAGTTTCCTCATCTGTAAAATAAGGGGATTAGACTAAATGATCTCTAACATCCATCCCTTTCAGCTTTAAGTCTGATGCTAGGATCCTAAATCAGATTGCTTTCTTCCAAACCTTAATTTGTGATCAATAGCACTAATAACAATAGCAGCTGAGATCTTTTTATTTTTATTTTTAATGAATTATACAGGGAGGTTTTATGGTATAAAAGAAATTGGAGTGGTGAGGGGATGTCATGGGGAAGCATGAGGACATCACAGGACAAAACCGGGGGACTGAGGAAAAGAGCACTGATAGGTGGGAGAACGGTAAAGGAAAGGACGTGGGAGGACATCAACAACGATTTCGGCCTATTTTGAAATTCTGTCAAGTGCTGCGCTCTGAAAAAAGGCGGGTGGGAGATTCATTTTTTCCTTTCCTGATGCATTCCACGTAATCCTAATTTCAAAGACCCAGAACTCCAGGATAGTACTACCAGGACTATAGTTCATTCATATTATGAGTTAAATAGGCATGTATACAAGCCACAACACTCCCGAGTGGAGCCCAGACCAGATTAAAATGTGATTGGGAAATATTTTAACAAATATTTAAAAATACAATAAAACACAGATAAAATTATATTTAAAAAACTAGCCAATATGTGGGCCACAAGGATCCTTAGAGTTGGATTAGTGGCCCCTTTTTCTATTGGAGTTTGGCACCGCTGATGTACAGCATGACTTCTGTCAGGAAATGTGCTCCATGTCCCCAAACAACGATCAACACATTAAAAATCCATTTTCTTGAAATTGAGGATTGCCTGCACATACTGTGAAATACGGTTTTCTTGCCTTTACAGGGGACTGTGTTATATTACACAACCACCTCAGGTGACCCTCATGCTGCCAGACAACCAGAAGAGACCCGAGTTGGTGTTGATTGAGAGATGAGCAAAGAGATGCACTCCAATGCCCCTTACCGAGGGACCACGGGCTACAATGGACTTCATTACAGAACACACATATTCTGACAAATCTATAGAAACCACCCTGCACTTGGTATCTTACTCACCCAGAACTTTACAAGGAAGAAGGCATTCTGAGGACCCTTTCCAAACAATTCCTTTAAGCCACCTTTCTTCTCAGGAAATTTGTCATAAATCTGACGAATGTCCACTGATTCGAGCAATGGGTCACTGTAAGAATGGTTGGCATGGCCAATGTGCACGAAGAGATGTTTGTTGTACTGGAAAAAAACATAATGAGACATAATGTTACCCCTCACAACTCACTGCAGATGAGTCCAGGGCATCACTACAGCATTCTTATTGGGATATTTTGGGGACCACATCTTTGGCTAAACTGATACACCCCTTCCCCACAGGCAGATGGAGGGACCTTACAAAGCCTGTAAAAAATAAGAGTCAGCCATAAAGATGATCTTTTGGGGGTCACATAGAAGCTAAAGGACTGGGCTTGGAGTCAGGAAGACCTGCACTGAAATCATGTCTCAGATACTTACTAGCTGTATGACCCTAAGCAAGTAACTTAATCTCTATAATCTTTAGTATCCTCATCTGTAAAATGGGGATTCATATTGACATCTATCTCATAGAGTCGCTGTGAGGAGTAAATGAGGTTGAGACGTGCAAAGTGTTTTGCACCTTTCAAAGGCTATATGAATGTGAGCCATTATCATTAACTCTTCAAAACTGGCTTGGGGTTTTTCCCCTGTGACACAGACAATAGCTTTCCTTTCTAGGAATCCAGGAGCCCCCAAAAAAGAGTCCCACTGGAACAGGCAGTAAGAGAGGGGTTAAAGTTTTTCAACAAAGCAGCAAAAGGCCAGAGTTTAAGGCAATTTTTAAAAAGTAGGCAAGTAACAAAATTCTCTTGTATAAGAGGCATATTCCATCTCCACTATACAACAGAATTTCAGAGACGTGGCCTAGGTGAGGTGTGACAAAGGTAACGAGGTACCAAAGGGTTGATTCTGCTTATGATTCAAATAGCAAGTCATGGATGTTTGCTTTGGTTCCCATTCTTTAGAGGTTGTACTTTGGAGGAGCCACATCTGGATATTCAGTTAAGGTCATCTTAGGGTGAGTCATGTGCCCCTGCTCTGGTTCAAGCTGACATGGATAAAGCATCTGACCCATCATCAGCAGGGCATGTGTTTTGAGTTGTCTCCCCAGAAGGGTGTGGGAACTTTGAGTGAGTGAATGGACAGTGCATAACAACACTCGGAATAGAAATCAGGGCGCCCCTGATGGCCATTATTCTGGGAAGGCTGGGGACCTTCAGGGAAGGGGGCACTGTCTACATTCTCTGATGGTGGGCGTCATACATTGCTCGAATGGCTAGGACAAAGATGAAGATGCAGCCAAGGAAAAGAACAGGACTATGCAGCAGTTGAAAAGAAAATTAGGCAAAAATCATTGTTTTGCCAATTGGTGGCTGAGTTCTTCTTTTGTTATGGTCAGTAACACAGAGGCAGCCACAGCAGAATTACTAGGGATTCAGAGCCTAGAAAACAGGTTGATTATTTGAACTCTGACAGAGATAAAGAGAGGATAAAAAAAGACAAATGGAAATGACTATGTGAGATTCACTAAATGCCTTCCCTTGCTTGCTCGAAGTCCCAACTAAAATCCCACCTTTTCCAGGAAGCTTTTCCCACCCCCTCTTAATTCCAATGCCTTCCCTCTGTTCCTTCTTTCTTATTTATCCTGTATCTAGCTTGCTTTGTATATATTTGTTTACGTGGCATTTCTCCTATTTGAATGAAACCTCCTCTAAAGCAGGGACTTCTTTTACCTCTTTTTGTGTCCCCCAGTGCTTAGCACAGGGCCTGGAACATAGTGGTCACTTAAAAAACACTGAATGATTGATTTATTCTGAGTCTTAATTCCCTGGGAAGTATGGAAATAAGAGACCTGATTCCTGCCCCTGGCCAGTATGTATTTAGGTTTAAATCATTTACCTTCTATCCATGCTATGTGATTATGGGGAAGTCAATTAGATTTTCAGAACCCCAGTTTACATACATGTGGAACATGGTGGGGACAGGGGGTGGGGGGTACCCTGCAATGATATTTGTACTACCTACCTCATAGCACTATTAAAAGGAAAGTACTTTCTTTACACGCTCTTTATAGATGCAAATTATTAGTGTTAGCAGTTGGAAAGGGAAAGTACTGAATGTCTTTAGACTGTTTTCTCAACTACTCACTAAAACCACAAAAAGATGCCAAGAGAATAAGGAGTTATAGGATTAGGCCACTAAATACTCAAACATCTGATTGACAGTTATGGAAGAGGAAGTTGTTGTACCTGAGAAGTGACATAAAAAAAGGTCTTAAAATTCCCTAAAGTCAGACAGAGATGGCAAATTATCTTTATATGAGAGATGGTTAATAAAAACCTCACAAAGATACAGGGTACTGCTAACCAAATGACCACCACAACACAGAATCATGGCCCCAATGAGGCAAGCACAATGTGTGGAGTCAGGAAGAGTTGGCTTTAGATCTCACTTTGACACTCAGACCTGTATGACCCTGGGTAAAAGTCACTGAATTTCTATGTGCATCAATTTCCTCAACTGTAAAATGGGGATCATGATAGCAGGATTACTGTGAGGATCAAATGAATTAATATTCACAAAAGAGAGCTTAACATAGTATAGTCCCTGGCAAACAGTCATTGCTATAGAAATGCTCATTGCCTTCCCTTCGCATTCCTCTTCCAGTCCCTGGGCTTTTTGCACAACCTGATGCTTCTGAATTAGCTGGACAGTTTGGAGATCAGAAAAATCTGTGATTCAGAAAACTGAAAATGATCCTGAGGTTTCTATAGAAATTTACAGAAAGTGGGGGCAGCTAGGTGGCACAGTGGATAGAGCTTACAGCTCTAGTCTTGGAGTCAGGAGGACCTGAATGCAAATCTGGCCTCAGACACTTGACACTTACTAGCTGTGTGACCCTGGGCAAGTCACTTGACCCCAACTGCCTAGCCAAAAAGTTAAAAAGAAAAAAAAAAAAAAAAAGAAATTTACAGAAGGAAAAATCCCAACTGAAGACTGTAAGGAACAAAAATGCATTGAAGGCTTTGTTTTAGGATGGTACGCTCTGCTCCATGAATATCTTCATGTTTCCCTCACACTGAAAGCAAGTTAAAGAAAGTATTCAGGAACAGGGGGTCAGATCACAGAGTCTTCTCAGCTTCAAGATACCCAATAATCCAAAAGGCAGCTCTAACAGTTGTCTGTAGGTCCTGCCAACAAGCCAGATGCTACTGCACCAAAAATTCCAGCATGGTATAGCAGGTTGGACAGCTGGGACAACACCAGGCAATGTTCTTAAGACATAAATGTATAATCTGATGCCGGGGAGGGGTATGGTGTGGGCTGTAGGTGGAGAATGGGGATGTGAGCACCCACACAGGGAGTGCTGGTCATTACATTCTCTTCATGCTATGATGATAAATGGACTCATTGTTTATGCCATTTGTCAGGGCGGCTAGGCCATATTTGTATACAAAGTTAAATCAAGACAGGGTCCTAGGCTCCAACAAATTTAAACGAAATTATTTGAAATGTCTCCTATAGTGGGAGCTAATGAAATCACTGTGATTTAAGTGGAGATCAAAGCAAGTTCCAGACCAAATGGAGGGAATCGGTTATTAATATGACATTACTATTCATATCTTAATATGCCATGGGAGGAAAAAACTCTGGAGGAGTTTGCATGGGGGAGGGGAGTGGCCACCTCCCCCCAGGTCCCTCGTTCTGCCCTTTTTTAATCTGTATTTTTCAGTTTTGTACATAGACGGTCTTTTAAGTCACTGTTGTTCAGGAATGGCATTGTCTCTGTAGGGAAGGAATACAAGGAAAGCACAGGCGGTCAGGAAGAGATCCCAATACAGTGGCTTCAACTCACTTGGACCCGAGAACAATGGATCCTATAAAAAGTGTTTCCCTCATTCTTTCCTTCTTGTTCCACTTCTTTTATCTTTAAAGGAAAAAAGAAAACCAGCCACTTACTCTCCCAGTAAAAAAGTTTCTCCAAAACTGCACTGTCCCTGGCAGCTGTTGCAGCTGGCTCTCAGGCTGCCCAGAATTTCAGTTTCTGTTCAGCTCTAACAGCTGCGAGAGGAAAACCTTCCATCTCTGGAAAACCCCAGTGCAGCTCCACAGACCTCAGAGGAAGCAAACCAGCTTAGCAGGAAGAGAACCGGAAAGCAGCAAGTCTGGACAAGTCTCTCCCTCTGGAGTAATTTAGCAGCACAAAGGTGTTCTACACCTCCTAGCCTAAAGACACTTGCTGCTTCTCAGCTTGTATGCTAAAAATTCCAAATATGTGAAGAATGCAGCGCAACCAAGAAAAATGACTGTTGTCAGATAATAGCAAGATAAAAATTATAATCCGCTTAGGAATGTAAAGGAACCGAGATAAATAGGTAACGTATGTCAAGGGATGGTGGCAGACAAGTTGCAACAGAGAAAGGAAAAAAATCATCAACATTCATTTTCCAGCGGTGACTCAGCCTGTTCAGAACTGTTGCACTGAGGGGAACCAGGAAGGCAAGAACTACCCTGTGATTCTAAAGACTTACTAAGAGATGGAGGAAAAAACTTTGTCAAAGCATAACCAAATACTATGAATGAATAAACGTAAATGCACTTAGCAAATGCTTAATTGCAAAACACTGTGCTAATCGCTGGGGGCCACAAATAGAAAGTCAGGCCCTGCTCAAATTCTGAGAGGGGAGGCATATGTGGACCCCTTCAATTTACCTCTCCTCCTCCTTTATGTAATTACAAAAAGTTAAATTACGTCACCTGTGAATTGGAGTGGGGGTGGGGGGATTCCACAAATGTGCACATGCAACTCCAGGAGTTACCCTGCAGATTTCCCATCGTGATAAGGCACTCCCTCCTCACCTCTATCTCAGAGAAACTCTAAACATCTCTTAAGTCTTAGAGGCAAGTACCAACTCTACTTGAGGCATATTCTGCCATCCCTAGTAGGTAGTGCCCTCTCTGCCCTTTTGCAAATTACTTTCCCTATGCCTCTCTATGTGTTATTTTCTCCCAATAGAATGTCAGCTCCCTGAGGGCAGGGATCAATTTCCTTTTTGTGTTTGTAATCCTGGCACACAGTACTGTGAACTGCATATAGTAGGCATATACTTAGTAAAGGAAAGGCTATGAGGATACCAGAGTTCTCTGTTGGCCAACAGGCA